CCGCTTTAAGCGACAAACCGCTTATACGACGAAATTTATCGAAAAAAATTAAAATTTTTACGTCGTGCAGAAAAAAAATACATTGCAATAGTGCCAAACTTAAGTTGTGAGAAATGCATGTATTTATTAGTGATCGGCACCCTTGTTTGTGTGCGTAGCAGCGACACAAAGGATCTTACACTGTCACTACTCTTGGTTAGTTTTAGCTGTCGCCTTAAAAACGTTGCTGCGTAGAGAGAGAGAGAGAGAGTCGAAGTGCAATGCCGACGTCACACTGCGTGTGCAGACCTCATAGCCTATTCCATGAGATGTCCCGTTATTATTCTTATTTGTACTGCTTTTTTCTGAGTAAAACTGAATTCTTAAATTCGACAAATGCAATATGTGCAATAATAAGCTCATTCAGTTTTCAGTATGTCGGAGAATTGTAGCCTTCTCCACGCAAGTTCTCATTAGTCGCTGAATCGATTGGTTGTTGCTCGTCCATATTGAGTCCTGGTAGGTGCTGCGAGTCTTCGTTGCCTTTGTTGCTCATAACTATTACTCAATTATTAGTCCTCAACTAAACACCACGCTAAAGCTCGGGACAAAAAGAGACAGACCATATCCAGCAACACAACGAAGCCACACACGGCCTCAGTTCGCAAACTGAGTCCCCATCATACCAGAACTGGTATATCCTAGCACGACCTATGGTCACACCTTAGAGTATCCTGTCTAACGAGAGACTGAATAACCTCCTCTCCGACACGGCCATCCTGACATATACACGTCCTCGTGTCTTTAATAAACATCTGAATTTCATTCCACTTTATAGTTGTTATTGAATGCTTCAAAAAACTTAACCACGTAATCTCAAATTCGTATAATATTCATTAACATAACTTAACTGAACTTTTAAATTCTTCGCCAAACACATGGCTTCACAAATTCATTAATCATATTACTCGTCCCTCGCCCAACACTAGGCTTCACAAATTCATCAAATACATCTCTCGTCCATCGCCCAACACTAGGCTTCACGAATTCATCAAATATATCTCTCGTCCATCGCCCAACACTAGGCTTCACGAATTCATTAAATACATCTCTCGTCCATCGCCCAACACTTGGCTTCACGAATTCATCAAGTACATCTCTCGTCCATCGCCCAAAACTTGGCTTCACGAATTTATCAAATACCTCTCTCGTCCATCGCCCAAAACTTGGCTTCACGAATTCTTCAAATACATTTCTAAAGCAACTCTCGTCCATCACCAATCACATGGCTTCACGAACACTTTCTTTTTCAACAGACTTTTCCAACTGACTTTGTTCTTTCTAATTTACATCAAGCTCTTCTGGAATTTGCACATCCGGTAACTTTCGCAAACTTTCGTGTGGGTACTTGTAACGCCTACTGTTCTGTGTAGACTTTAAAACGTATCGATCTCCGCCCAATACCTCGCCCACCAAAAAGGGTCCTCTGAACTTAGGATCTAATTTCCTTTGCTGTCTCTCGCTATTTTTAAGCAGCACAAAGTCCCCCACACAGAACCTTATTACTTGAGCCATATTTTTATCAAATTTTGTCTTCTCATATCTCGCGGCCTACTCCATGTTCTTAGCGGCCAACTCCCTTGATTTAATCTTGTCAATTTCATCTTCGGTATCATAATAGGTATCCAACCCTAGCTAACTGTACATCCCCTAGTGCATCCTGCCACGATCTAGAGCTTGTCTCAACAGCCGTCAAAAGATTCTTCGGTGTACTCATGACTCTTTCAACTTGCCCGTTGGCTCGATTTGCGCCCGTTCCAATTAGATGTAATTGTATTTTTTGGCTAGAACAAAATTGTACAAACTTCGTGCCCGTACCCCTAATCGGCAATTAAACGTGTTGGCACGCCAAAAATGGCAATCGAAGATTTCATTGCGTTTATACAAGTATTAGCATCCAAAGAAAAGTTTGAAATACATAAACGTATTTTGTAAAAGCCTCGATTTGTAAAATAATATATTCTTTACGATAGCTTTTTTCGCTCAATTTTCCTGATATATCTATATGAACAGTATGCCAGGGAATGCTTATTTTTGGAATTGGGTGTAATTCTATTTGAGGTTTTCCTGACGTACCCTTAAAAACTCTACATGTAATGCAGTTCTCCACGAATCTTCGAACATATTTTGCCGTACCCGAAAACCAGTAATGATCGTACACTTTATCTAGTGTTTTCTGCGACCCTAGATGCATGAAAGACTCATGTAACTGATTTATAAATGACCAGCGAAAAGTACAAGGTATCAAGGTACAACTACAGGTAACAACGAGTTTTTGAATTCCTATGACTCTTTCTATACAAATCATTTGATCAAATTTCATAAGTGGCAACTAAAGCCAATGGTAAATCGTCATTCTTCAACTTAAATAAGATTTCTGATATTTCTAGATCCTTTTGTCGTTTTACCAGTATCCAGTTCTCCGATATTTCTGTTAAGTCAATTCGTTTTTCTTCTATTTCTTTTTTTTTTTTTTTTTGGTAATGACTTATTCTTTAGACACACCAGGTTTCTGAATAGAAAGTCAACGTGTGTCATACGCTTACCTTCCCTGTATTGAAACTCGAATTCAAATGTTTGAAGAAACTCCCAACGATAAATCCTAGGTGACAACTCGACTTTATTTCAAGAAGATTTGATTGAGCTACAGTCAGTAAAAATTTAGAATTTTCTTTGAGAAAATATAAAAGCTTCATCTATTGAGAAATCCGGAATGAATTGACGAAAGTATGACGCTAACCCAATAAACTGTCTTAGAGAAGCAACTGACTTTGGTGGAGGCAACGTCGATAGTTTTTCTTTTTTGTTAGAATTTGAACGTATCTCCCTCGCTTGTATCTCATAGCCCAGGTAGCGCACTGTAGTTCTCAAGAAAAAGCACTTTGAAATGTTAAAAGAGAATCCTGCGCTCACTAAAACGTCTAATACAAGTTTCAAACATTCAAACGCTTCTTCCTTTGATTCTGAAACAACTAATAAATCATCCATATAAACAATTACAAACGAATGAGCAAGACTGCCAAGTGCCTTTAATACAGCTCTCTGGAACACTGAATGTGCGTTTTTAATCCAAAAAGCATCGCAAGAAATTCGTACTGCCCATCAGGGGTAACAAAGGCAGTATACTCTATACTCGCTAGCCATGTCAAGAGAAGTGAAATATTTAGCTCCCCTAAGTCTAGCTATTCGATCTGATATTAACGGTAATGGGAACTTATCAGCTACGGTATTTGTTTTTTATTTAATTCTCTGTAATCAACGCAAAGTCTTGCTGAGCCGTATTTCACTCAGCTTCCGAATCAAAAGTAATTGGAAATCTCTCACCATCGACCAGCATACTCGATTGAGGCTCCACTATAGCGCATATCTCCACTCTTTTTAACGTTCTCACTTCCGATCCAGCATTCTGCACTTTTTTTTTGACAATTAGTGGCTATGTGTCCCGGTTCCTGACATCTGTAACACGTTACGTTTGTCCTTCCATGACGAGGCTGCGCTGACGGCCACTCCTTTCCAATTGTCGAAACCTGAGATCCAGATCTACAGTCTTGCTTTTTGTGGCCTAGCTTTCCACACTGGTAACATTTGATTTCCGCAGTTTTAGCTCGCTTCGTCTCTGGTTCCCAGTTCGTTGCATTAGGGTGATCCTTTGGAGCTGAGAATACTTGCAGCTCCGCTTGCAGTTCACGTCGATTGTTAACATGCGTTGTGTGTATCATTCGCTGCAAACGTCGATCGAAATTAGCCATGTGCCCAAGAACCAGCGCGATGGAAATTTGTTCAGAATTCAAATTACGCAGTTTTGTGCCCAGTGACGTCACACTGCGACTTGCAAAAACAGACAGGCTTTCGCCGTTGCTTGGACGGCTATTAAGAAAACTTAAAATGACGGCGGCTGGCGTCTCTGATGTCTCGTATCGCTGCTCAAATAATTGCCGGAACTGTTGCCAAGTTATTCCCGGGTAACATATTTGAGATAACCATTGTGCCGCTGTGCCTTCCAAAGCATTACTTAACGCTAATATAAGAGCGCTGTCACTTAATGGTTTTTCTCGTAAGATGATGTCAACCGTAGCGCACCACTGCGTGGCATCCATACCAGCAACGTCCGGATTATATTTCGGCAGGAAAATCTCACTAGTTTGTTGCAACTCACTCGCCGGCGTCTGTAGGCTCTTAACCAGTTCCAGAAAGTTCCGATTTTGTTGTTCTAACAGCGCGAGTATTTCTCTAGAAGAAATTTGGTTAGGGCCGAATCCCACTTCTGATGTCGGAGAATTGAAGCCTTCTCCACGCAAGTTCTCATTAGTCGCTGAATCGATTGGTTGTTGCTTGTCCATATTGAGTCCTGGTAGGTGCTGCGAGTCTTCGTTGCCTTTGTTGCTCATAACTATTACTCAATTATTAGTCCTCAACTAAACACCACGCTAAAGCTCGGGACGAAAAGAGACAGACCATATCCAGCAACACAACGAAGCCACACACGGCCTCAGTTCGCAAACTGAGTCCCCATCATACCAGAACTGGTATATCCTAGCACGACCAATGGTCACACCTTAGAGTATCCTGTCTAACGAGAGACTGAATAACCTCCTCTCCGACAAGTATATAAAAAAAACCCATGTTTTTGAAAAAAAAATTCATTTGATTTATTTTAAAAACCTATTACAAACACAGCAACCGCAAAATAATCAAACAAAAATTTTTTTTGCTCCTTTTGCTTAGTGCGTCTTCCGGGTATAACGACGAAAAACCGCCGGTCCCTTGAAAGTCGCTATAACCGGATTCTACTGTATGTTATCAAATAAAGTTACAAATTTCAGATTTTTATTTTTAACCGTTTTCTCAAAACAATTTTTTTTTATAAAATGTCAATATTTGGCCCTACAAAGTGAGAACCTGCCTTAGTTTTTAAAAATACTTAGTATATCAACAATTTCACTTTTAAAATGTATTTCCAGAGCAAAACTACTTCACGACGCCTGGAACTTAGCCTATGCTGGTGAATTAAATTTTGCAATAGCTCTTAATATGACTTTGTTTTTGAAAAATGAACGTAATCATATTGTTTGGGATCCAGTTTTTACGTTTTTGGACCAAATCGGTAAGCGATTTGATGTTTCATCACTTCATAAAAAGTTTCATGTAAGTAGGAAAAAAGATATAAAAATGAAAATGATTAAAAAATACTTAAATTCTTTAGCTCTACACCATAGATCTTTTGGCTCCATTATATGAAACTTTAGGCCCTGAGAATAATAATGATGATAATTGGAAAACTGATTTACGAAAATTGACAAAAACGTTTATTTGTAACGCGGGCTACCTGCCATGTATTAAAGCGTCCCGAAATGCTTTTGAAGTGTGGCTTAACAGCTCAAACCCAAACCTCAACAATCCGTAAGCATTGTTCATTTTCACGGTTAAATTAATAATTAAATTAAAAACAATTTTATATTAGGGTACCAAACGAGTTTATTTGTCCTGTGTTTATGTGGGGTTCTATGGAGGAATGGATGTTTGGATTGGAACGTATAAGTCAGTTTCCAAAGCTTCGTCTTCAAAGTGATAGAACCTTTTTGTTAAAAATGCTATCAGGATGTCCTGCCCAGCGTGAAAAAATAAATTATCTACTCGAATTGGCTATTCTAAAAAATGTTTCTTTTTTCTCCGAAAACGATAAAATATTAATCATTAATATGATAACGACTCGTTCCATCGGATACACTACGCTTTTGGATTTTTTATCAAGCCATTGGGCTAATGTTTATCAAATGTAAGTGAACCTATTATCAATTATCATCAATATCAATTTAATAATTTTACTATTAGGTAATTAAAAAATGTATTATTGTGTTTTCATCCAACTGAGCCTAGAACGACTAGTGAAAAAGGCTTTCTTAGACTCGACAATTAAAGAGAAAGCAAAGTACAGCTTTTTCAAAATATTGCTTTATTTGCTCGCCTGAGGAGATTAAATTTGAAAATATTTCCAACAGATCGGTTTAATCATATAGCGCTTTCATTTGTGTTAGGTACTAGTTTAAACATTATAATTCTTTAGTTTAGTTTTGCCCTTTTCTCCAAAATATAAATCTATATCCCTATTTTACAGGTCAGACTCAAATAAACTATATTTTTTTTAAATTACATATTTGTTTATAATTTCCTGAAGAATGTTTTATGAACAATGTTTTTAGTTTATCACGCTGGGTACAGAAAAATCAAAGAGTTATAGGGGTTGCGTCTCAAAAAAGGAAGGCAAATGCAAAGGTAGTTCCAGTCCAGTAACCTTCAAGATCTGATTTATTAATCGCCAAGCAAAACAAACTTTCACGAGGAATGTATGTAAGCCTTTTATACTGAAACGGTAAATTTTTATGGTATTAGAGAAATTTGTGGTATAAAATCAATTTCCACTTTTTTGCAGCCTGTAAAATCAACAACTTCTACTAAATTACGTTGAAGACCATTTAGTTTCAATCATTATACACATTACACTGTGCGACAAAAAAATGTTTAAGTTGATTTTTTTCTTATTTTTCACTTCTACTAATCAAAATAAGAATATAAGTTTGTGGATTTGTTAATATCAATAGCCAATCAGCTTTTACGCACACTTAAATGTCCCAAAAACGCGCGTTTTTGCATATTTCACAGCCTTATAATCACGTATTGGGAAAATATTTTTTCACCGTTATAAGCGTTAATGCAAGTTCAATATCTATTAATTAAAATATATTAAGCAAATATACCGTTAGGCTTTTATCACAATGCTTTAAAAATTTTTTCTCCCAGCTCTATACTCTGGGCGACTACGTATGGAACTTGTTACGCGAGGATACCTCTGAAAAAGCAAAAAAAATCAGGAAAAAAATTCAATTTAAAAAAAAAGAATAGTTTATTGGAAGTAATAAAAAAAATAATATTTTGTGTTAATTATTTTCATAATAATAATTTTATAAAATTTACCATGAAAAAAGAAATCGTATCACTTAAAAGGTGGCATAAATATTTTTGTGCATAATTTATGCACCTTAACCGAAAACAATCAAAAAACAACAATGATTTTGTTAAATTTTGTCGCACAGTGTTATTGATGCACTAATCTTAAGTAAAGGAATGTGTAAAAGAACACCTGGTGGACTGTGTTGGTTAAGAATTTTAGCCGGTTAATAAACTGCATCGTGATTTTAGAAGTATAGAATTTTCTAACGACTCTTGAATTTTGAATTAAACTGTATAAAAGTTAGCTGCCATCAGAATAATCGTTGGAGCTACACAAAATTAATATAAAAATTATAGTTTTATCCTTTCTTACTAACCCAGTAAAAGGGGAACGTAAGGTCCATCCTCGATTACTTAGTTTTTGCAGAGGGACGAAACATCCTTCCTGTTTCGTTTGCCTAATGGGACGGATAGATTCTCCCTGACAAAACCAATTTTCATGTCGAAAGAGCTTCAGAATCCGACTGAGACTTGTACCCCGACCAGAAAGACTTTTCAGTTCAATTACCCTAAAAGAACCATTAAATTTGGGTGAAGCTTGCTTTGACATTCTTCGTTTAAAAAAAACATGGTTTCCTACTTTAAGTTTTACAAGTTTGGCCTTATTCTCGTCAAACCTAGTTTGTCGTAACGTGCATTAGCTGCCATATTTTTCTCAGCTGGCTCCTTTACCTACCTCAGGGAAAGAAGTATATGTGCATTGAAATTATTTAAAAAAAAAAACCATAAAATAATTATATTAGGTTTTTGATTAAATTTATTTATATTGCTGGAATACATATTAACAAAAAAATAACAATATAGTTTTCGTAAACGTTTTGATTAACTTTAAATTAAATAAAGAATTTTAATTTCATATGAAATAAGTAAATGTGCATACTGACCGAAAATTCGAAATACATGTTGGAAAATTTTTGAACAATTTTAAGTACACTTCCTAATAATTTATATGACTTCCTTTCTTAATAAAAATTTGATTAATCCGATTGGGCATTGAATTTGCTAAGTTTTTCAGAGTTGTCGGATTAATTTGATCCCATGCCTTGATCAAAGCCTTTTTAAGGTCATTAACTGTGTCGAACTGGCTACCATTCTTGTAAACTTTATTAGAAAGAATTCCCCAAAGATCTTATATTGGGTTTAGGTCCGGGCTGATCGCTGGCCATTGCAATAGCGGTATTTTTCTAGCTGCCAGAAACTCTTTTGTTTTGCGAGCTGTGTGGATTGGCGCGTTGTCTTGCTGGAATATCCACTCATCCCCATAAATGTCTCCAGCAAATTCAATGAGCACTTTTTCTAGTAACTCTATATAAATTTCTGCATTTGTTATAGTCGGTATAAAATAAAGTGGAGACTTCCCAGCATACCCAAATCCGGCCCAAACCATTAATGATCCTCCACCGTGGTTTCGTTTATGGCAGACCTGCCGTGGTTGCCTTTTGTCGCGCCAGTACTCTTGACAGGAGTCAGGGCCGACTAAGTTAAACTTTTTCGTCCGAAAATATAACTTTTTTAAACTCCTTCGACAAAAATTTGTATTTCTCAGCAAATTGTATACGAGCGGTTATGTGGCGCTTTAATAGCCTTGGTACAGGGTCGCGTGAACCATATGTAACCATTTTGTTTTGGTTTAAAATTTGGTTTATACGTCTTTTGGATACTTCAAGATTCAGTTGACCTTTTATCTCCATGCAATACTTGTTGTCTTGAACTGCTAGACGCCGAATTTGTCTCTTGCACCGCTCGTCGATTTCAGTGGGCCTGCCGCTTCGCTTTATTTTTCCATAACTTTCTGGATTTTTAAGGAAGTTACTAATTGTATTCCTGTGCCTATTTAATCTGGTAGCAATATAAGAAATGGTCTGGCCAGATTCAGCCAGTCCTTTGATCATGCCGCGATCTTCCTCTGACAAATGTAAACCACGTGGCATTTTACCGTAAAATCAAACTAAATATTAATTATTTTATTATACAAAGATAAAAAATATTTTTTACTTACGTTCCGCTGACTAAAAAATATTTTTAGATCACACTTCTTAGCTTACTCGCTATCAATAACAGAATAATCTCAATATGCACATATACTTATTTCCTATTAAAATAACAAATTTCAGCACATGTCCTTAGAAAGGGTACAACGAATGAAGTCCAAAGAGGACCGTTTTTATTAGGATATGTTAATAAAAGATAAGAATACAAAACTGCGTACTTACAAAAACTGTACCGTTAACTTTAGAGAAAATACAAGCAAATTAAAAAGTGCACATATACTTCTTTCCCTGAGGTATGTTCTGTCTAGTTCGTTTTCTTCTACTTCACTTATTGACAACAGACTGAAAGGTCTAGCTTCTGTTCAGAAAAATAATTAAAGTGCGGTGAACTTTGTGACCCGCTTTGCCGTACCATTCTTACAAAACTTTGTATTTTCCTGTTTAGTATTCCTATTCTTAACCTGTAGGTTTTCAGTTAATTGTCTGAAAATTCTTTGTTTATTAACCTAGAAGATATGTCTGCTACCACATAATAACGTTGTTATTTAAAACCCAGCCAAACGCCAGTTTAGCTAGGACAAAACAATTCGTTTCTTAAAATTTTTTTCTATTTTCCCTCTTTCTTTTCTTAAGGGATTCCGTACCATTTGGTCTACTTTTCTACACTCGAGATCAAAATCAAACGACTGCAGAAATGTTTGATAGCGGTAACAACGGCTAATATTGAAGCTTGTACGAATAGTATTTTGATTAAGAAGGTTATTCAAAGAATGCCCGAATTGAAGTCTTTATATACGGCAATCCTACCACCCCATAGCATTGACAATTGCTAAAGCTTCAAGCTGGTGCAAATAATATTTCTATTAAGGGGCACAACTAGTGTGACGGCCAAAAAAAAGTTGATTTTTGGGAATTTTTATTAAAAAAAACTACTTGATCAATTATTTTAAAATTTTCAGAATATATTTATACATGTTTGAAGAATATACAGTGAAATTTTTAAAGAAAAAAATCAAATATTTTTTAAGTTAGAGCCGATCTCCAACGGCGTTAAAAAAAAGTGCCTTAACTGCTGCAGTGATTCCGGCCCTCTCCGTGGATGAAAAAAATGAAAAATTCTCGTCAAACTAGATGATATTGTCGAATTTTACCCACAATTTTGGTCGGATCAAAAAATCGATACGTCATTGTAGGGAGAACTATATATAGAACATGTAAAAAAATTTGATAGTGATCGGATCATTAGTTTTTGAGTTATCACTGCAGCAAATTCGGAAAATGCTGTTTCGAGAAAAACGCGTTTAAAGATAAAATGATCGTATTCACTGCTATACGAGCGGCTGCTGATATAGCTCAAAAACTATTTAAGATATCGATTTGAAATTTTAATATGTTATTTTCAAAGGTGTAATCTACCGAAATATGAAAAGAAAAAAAAAGATTTTTTTGAAATGTCACACTAGTTGTGCCCCTTAAAAGGTAACGTGCACTTACCATTGTAGCAATAACGCCCATTGAACTGGCATCTGTGTATAGTTCTATCAAATATTGAGGGGCAAATATGGTTAGAACTGGTTCCTGGGTTAGTACAGTTGTTATTTGTATTGTTTCATGTTCTGCCAATCTTGTGCAAAGGCAGTTTTCATTTGAGGTTATCAATTACAAGGGGTTTAATTTCTCTGAGGATTTCCACACAAACTGACGAGAATAGAAGGCAAGGTCTTTAAATTGAAATTATTGCGTGACGCTTTGTGGGGGTGGTAAACATGTCAACGCT